TCTCCTGCCTCAGCCTCCTAAGTAGCTGGGACTACAGGCACCCGCCGCCATGCCTGGCTAATTTTTTTGTATTTTAGTACAGATGGGGTTTCATTGTGTTATCAAAGATGGTCTCGATCTCCTGACTTCGTGATCCACCCGCCTCGGCCTCCCAAAGTGCTGGGATTACAGGCGTGAGCCACCACGCCCAGTCCAAACTACCTATTTCAAAAAAATTTTTTATAGCAGCCTGAGCAGACTAAGACAGACCCTTACCCAATATCATGTATAAAAATTAACTCAAAACAGATCAAAGACCTAAATGTAAGATCCAAAACTATAAAACTCTAAGAAGTAAAGATAGGTGAAAAGCTGCACAACATTAGATTTGGCAATGATTTATTGGATAAGACACCAAAAGCATAGGCCACAAAAGAAAAAAAAAAATAGACTGGGTGAAGTGGATCAGGCCTGTAATCTCAGTACTTTGGGAGGCAGAAGTGGGAGGATTGCTTGAGGCCGGGATTCGAGGTTACAGTGAGCTACGATTGCGCCACTGCATTTCAGCCTGGGAAACAGAGTGAGACCCTATCTCTTAAAAAAAGATAGACTGGATATCATAAAATTTTTTAAATTTGTGCATCAAAAGACACTATTAAGAGAGTAAAAAGGCAACCCACAGAATGGGATAAAATATTTGCAAGTACTGTATCTAATTAGAGATTAATATCCAGAATATTGTCATTCACCACTTAATGATGGGGATACCTTCTGAGAAAAGCCTCATTTGGTGATTTTGCCATGGTGAGAACAACATAGAGTGTATTCTATGTGGTAAAATACACATAACATTAAATTTACCATCTTGACCATTTTTAAGTGTACAGTTCAGTGGTATTAAACACATTCATAATATTGTGCAACCATCACCACCATCTATCTCCATAATTTTTTTTATTTGTCCTTTTGTAACTGGCTTACTTACCATAATGTCCTCAAGAATCATCCATGTCGTAGACTTTGTCAGAATTCCAGAACTACGTTACAGTACTTGCCTAGTAAGGGGGTTGCTGCTGCTGACCCCAGAACCAGCTACATCTGCTGAGGTTAGGCAACTCTTGCTGCCAAAACAAACCCCAGAATATACTGTCTTTGCTGCTACCCATGCCAGCAAAAATGGACACTAGCGACACGAGTCACCCAACAGAGCCCTTTGTTGGTGTATATAATTAGTGGAAACTTAGTAGTGTGTAAAATTAGTCACATACCCCATTCCAGTAGCAAGGGAGGCTGGGATTTTTTTTTTTCCCCCTTCAAATTCTAACTTGGAAAGGTAGGATTCATGATGTGGGGGATTATAAAAATGTGGAGGATATTCAAAAGATTTTGGACAGTTATAAATGACAGATATTCATTATGTAGTGCCTGTCTCTTCCTTCACATTCACTCTCTATATCCCTCTAAAGTCACCAAAATTCTGGCTAATTTGCCTCATAAATAGCTCAGGCATCTATTCACTTTCTCTATCCTCCCTGACATGTCTTTAGTGTAAGTCACTCCATGGGGATGGGAAATAAGAAGTAGATAAGGGAAGGAGAAGAGAGATGCCTCGAAATTTGTGAGTTCTCTAGAAATACTGTCAAATTAAAATTTAATTGTAGGTAGTGCCAAGGCAGAAAGAAATCTAAATTTTCTCCAAGGTAACAATATATTGTTCTTTTTAACTGAATCAAAACTCCCTGGATCTCTCTCTCTCTTTTTTTTTTTTTCTTCAGACAAGGAAGGCTCTGTTGCCCAGGCTGGAGTGCAGCGGCACCATCACAGCTTGACCTCCCTGGCTCAAAATATCCTCCCACCTCAGTCTCCCAAGTAGCTGAGACTACAGGAACACACCACTACACCTGGCTAGTTTTCTTTTTCTTTTTTTTTCTTTTTATGGAGACAGGACCACCATGCCTGGCTACTTTAACTTTTTTTTTTTTTTTGGTAGAGACAACGTCTCGCTCTGTTGCTCAGGCTGGTCTCCAGCTCCTGGGCTCAAGTGATCCTACCATCTTGGCCTCTCAAAGTGCTGGGACTACAGGTGTGAGATCTTGATTTTTACTTATGAACACATACAAGCACTCCGTATGTGTTGGGTGGTGTACACTCTTGGGACAGGGAAGTTAGAGTTTCAATTGTGGCCATGGCTTCTTTACTCTTTCTGTGATCTTGAGCAGTCCCACAACTCTTAGAACTTAATTCGTTGTAGAAGTGTTAGAGAATTTCTGTGAGATAATCAGGCATAAATTTTTAAAGCACCAATATTGCTGAGATGTCCAAATGACTACATAAATTATGACCCACCTACATGCTAAACTACTATGTGGCCATTAAAAAGAATGACGCTGCTCTAAATATACTAATATGAAACAGTTTCCAAGATATCCTAAGTGAAGAAAAGACAGTATAGAACAATGTATATAGTATGCTACCATTTTTGTAGGTGTTCATGCCTTCACATCTGTGTTACTTTTAAGGGATATAGGTATATTTAAGCTTGTAAATTCACAGACCATCTTTGTAAGGGTACACAAGGAACTGGCAATAGTGGTTGCCTTCAGAGAAGAGAACTTGAAGAGAACCTCCCTACTGGAGGCAGGGATGGTGGAAGGGGTGGGGGATGGAGACGGTGAAGATTGAGCTTTTGAATTTTGTTCCATGTGTATATATTATAAATTCAAAATAAAGATATAGTTTATTTTTTAAGAACCTGGAATTAAGTCCTATCTATGAAAACTGAAGAGATCAAAGTGAGAGGTAATTTAATTTGAAGCCCAGGTACAGCAGAAGTTTGGGGCTCCTCTGTTATTCGTGCTTATCCACACCTTTATTTTTTCTTTTTCTAAAGCATCTGGGTCTTTAGCTCAAACTTATGCAGATCTATGGTTTACTGGGTATAATTTTTGTTATGGAATACATCAACATATTCCAGGTTTCTCTGCTTGGATGGAATAGATGCATTAAATTCTGTGAAATGATTAAGTTGTGAAAAGTAGAAGGAGCTTGAATAGGCATTATTTTTCAGGATTTTAGAAATAGTTATGCCTGATAGTTTTATAATGTCTGTAGTATGGTTTTGCAGTCCACAGAATGCACTCACATACATTATCAGCTGATCCTTCGCAAAGAAGCCTCATGTGATTCTTTCTATTCTCAGCTTTGTCCATGAACTAAAATTAGAACTAGGCTGACATTACATTTCACTTGGTTACAGCTGACTGGGGATTTTAATCATTTGGAGCCACATTGAAAAAAATTTCCCCCTGCAATCTACTCTTAACTGATAGTCACTAACTTTGGTTATGTGAGCTTCAGCATCTACCGATATTGGTAAGTATTTGACAATGGTGAGTATTTTTCAAAAATATTTTTCCTTTATTCTTCACATATAAATAGCTTGCTGCTGATACCTCTACTGTGTTTGTATTGGTCAGAATGTCCAAACGAACTGGAATAGAATTTAAAAGTTTTCTGCAGGGTGTTCATGGTCACTCGTATAACTGTGCTCCTCTGGAAGATAGATTTCCACAGAAGTAAGAAACAATTCTTCTGCGATTCTTTTGCTATGCTTACCTCACTTGCCACACTATGTGCTTTTTTCTGTTATGGTAATAATCAAAGTAGAAAGCACAATCCTGTGCTGGAGGAAGAAATACATCATTATTGACTTGTGTTTCCCTAGGGGAAATTGATCGTTATAGGAAAACTGATGGATTAGCAACATTTAATGGCAAATGAGGAATTGAATTAGCAAATGGATGAATCGTTTTGCATGTCTAGTAAAATACATGTATAAGTGTAGATACTTGGGATTTAAAAAATATTTTTATTATTTGAGTATTTAGCAAAAACTTCAAACTTTCTTAAATCAGAGACAATAAATTGTAAATTGATTGCGATATGCTCAGGAAGTTGGATTACCAGTGTATGTATCCCAAGGTTTCTTCACAGAAAAGAGATCTCGCATTCTGTTCCTGAGTAAATTCAGCATGCCTTGCTTAGAGATTTTTCTCAACAATTTCCTGCATATGCCAATTATTTTTTAATCTTGAAATATTAAACTTTTTTCTGTAATATAGTTATTTGTCTGTCTCACACACATATATACTACATAATATTAGTTTAAAAAATCAATAATTTAGAAGAGGTTAATAATGAAAAGCAATATTATCTATCCAATTCCTCTCTATCACCAGCCCTCTCTAGAAGTAATCATTTTAACCATTTTGGAATTCAGTTTTCAGTGCTTATCTCCATATTTCTTTTTCAAAGACAATTGCATGCTATTTTTTAATCAACTTTAAACATTGTCTGTGGAGCTTCATTATAAGAGGTGGGGATTAAGTTCCCTTACACTGCCATAGGGTTATATCCCTATTTTTAGCTTCTCTCTTGATTACCTTAATAACTTTAAGCAAATACTTTAATCTTTATTTCTTGTTCCATAAGGTACGGACAGTATCTGTTGATTCCCCACTTTGAAGATGTGGATATTGGTGTTCCTATCATTTACTTCTTTTCCTCATTTCCTTCTTCCACATTCTGTTAAAAGTACTGTCACTTTTATGTTTTCAAGATATAAGGCATTAATATTCTGCTCTGTAACCCTCAATAAGTCTTCCTTACTTTTTTATAGATTAATTTATTTCAAAAGTTTAAGACCAATACATAGGCTTTACTATGTAATTTCTGTTTTCTGTAGAGCCAACATTTCCTTCTCAGTATCAATGTCATATTCATTGTACCAAAGAAGAATGTTAAAATAGATTCTCCTTTCCTCCACTTCAATAGTTGCTAAAAAATCATGCCACATTTTGTTGGCTTTATATATAGACTGTGGTTTTCTTGTACAGTGTCTTCCTCAACACAATTTCTGACTGCCTTTCTTTTTGCTTACTGGGAGAAGAAATTTCATCTTTTCACCATATCTCCAATGTCACACAGTTTTTCCCCCTTAATTCTAGCTATTTTTATAATCAATGGATGACTACTGCCATGCTTTTTTTTTTTTTTTTAAGACAATTTCATTCTTGTTGCCCGGTCTGGAGTGCAATGGTGTGATCTCAGCTCACTACAACCTCTGCCTCCCGGGTTCAAGTGATTCTCCTGCCTCAAGCCTCCCAAGTAGCTGGGATTACAGGCATGTGCCACCACACCCAGCTAATTTTATATTTTTTTAGTAGAGATGGGGTTTCACCATGTTGGTCAGGCTGGTCTCGAACTCCTGACCTCAAGCAGTCCACCCACCTCAGCCTCCCAAACTGCTGGGATTACAGGCATGAGCCACCATGCCCAGCTATTGCTTTTAAAACATTGTTTTACTTTATTTTTAATTTTTTTAACTATCTTGAAAAACATTGCTGGGAACAGCCTTATTCATGTTTCCTGGTGGAGACACCCTTCCTCTAGGTATATACCTTTGAATGGAATTGCTGGATCATAAGCTGTGCTTATCTTCAATATTAGTACATAAGTATTTCAAAATAGTTAATACTAATTTACAATTTCACCAATATACCAGGAATGCGTGAGGATTTCTGTAAGTCAAATTCTCGTCAACACTTGGTATAGTCAACCTTTTGAATTTTAGCCACTCTGACAGATGTTCATTGGTATCTTATTATGTTTTTATTAAGGTGGAGCACAACTTCATATGTTTTTGGTCAGCTGGATTTTTTTTTATCCACAGGGCAAGTTCTACCATTTGGATTTTATTGTTTGAAAATTTCCTGTTCAATTGTATTTTTTGTCACCTTTTTGAGTTGATTTTTAGGGGTTTGTTATATAATCTAGATGTAGTCCATTGGTGGTTACAAATATTGCCAATATCTTCCCCCACTAATGTACATGGTATTCCTTTTATTTTCTAAGTGATGTCTTTCAATAAGTTCTTAATTGTAATGTAGCCCACTTTATCAATCTGTGTTAGGCTGTTCTTGCATTGCTATAAAGAAATATCCGGCCAGGGCCAGGCACGGTGGCTCTCACCTGTAATCCCAGCACTTTGGAATGCCGAGGCAGGCAGATCACGAGGTCAGGAGATCGAGACCATGGTGAAACCCGGTTTCTACTAAAAATACAAAAAATTAGCCAGGCACAGTGGCAGGAGCCTATAGTCCCAGCTACGCAGGAGGCTGAGGCAGGAGAATGGTGTGAACCCAGAAGGCGGAGCTTGCAGTGAGCCGAGATCGCACCACTGCACTCCAGCCCAGGTGACAGAGTGAGACTTCGTCTCAAAAAAAAAAAAAGAAAAAAGAAATACCTGGCCAAGCACAGCAGCTCATGTCTGTGATCCTAGCACTAGCACTTCTGGAGGCCAATGTAGGTGGTTCACTTGAGCCCAGGAGTTCAAGACCAGCCCGGAGAATGTGGAGAGATCCTGTCACTACAAAAAATTAAAAAAAAAAAAAAAAAAGCTGGCACACTGTTTCTCTCCTGTAGTCCCAACTATTCTGAAGGCTGAGGCAGAGGGGCCCCAGGAAATCAAGGCTACCATAAGCCATGATTGTGCCACAACACTCCAGCCTTGGTAGCAGAGTAAGGGCCTGTCTTAAGAAAAAAAAAAAACCCACAAAACAAACAAAAAAATACCTGAAACTGGGTAAATTATAAAGAAAAGAGGTTTAATTGGCTCATGGTCCTGCAGGCTTTACAGGAAGCATGGTGCTGGCATCTGGTTGGCTTCTAGTGAAGCCTCAGGGAGCTTTCAATCCTGGTGGAAGGTGAAGGAGGAAGCCTGCATCCCACAAGACCAGAGCAGGAGCAAAAGAGGGAGCCGGTGGAGGTGCCACACACTTAAAGAACCAGATCTTGCAAGAACTCACTGTTTCAAGGACAGCACCATGCCATGAGGGATCCTCCTCCATGATCCAATCACCTCCTACCTAGCCCCACCTCGAACGCTGGGGATTACAGTTCAACATGAGATTTGGTGGAAACATATATTCAAACTATATAACAATCTTTTCCTTTATGGATATGCTTTGTATTCTGTTTTAAAAAGTGTTCTCTACTTTAAGGACATCAAGATAAGTCCTATATTGTCACCTAAATGTTTTATTTTTCTACTTTCACTTTTAGATCTATAATTCACATGGAATTAATTTTGGTAATATACAGATATTCAACAGTCCCAATATAATTTATCTTAAAAAATTGTTTCCATGGCCAGGTATGGTGGCTTACACCTGTAATCCCAGCACTTTGGGAGGCCAAGGAAGGCAGATTACTTGAGTCCAGGAGTTCAAGACCAGCCTGGGCAACATGGTAATACCTCATCTCTACAAAAAATACATAAATTAGCCGGGTGTCATGGTGCGTGCCTGTAGTCCCAGCTACGTGGGAGGCTGAGGTGGGAGAATGGCTTGATCCCAGGAGGTGGAGGTTGCAGTGAGCCAAGATCATGCCACTGCTCTCCAGCTTGGGCAACAGAACCAGACCCTGTCTGAAAAAAAAAAAAATTTCTACAATTGTTGCAGGAAGTCAGGGACCCCAAATGGAGTGACCAGCTAGAACCGTGGCAGAGGAACATAAATTGTGAAGATTTCATGGACATTTATCACTTCCCTAATAATACTCTTATAGTTTCTTATGCCTGTCTTTACTTCAATCTCTGAACATAAATTGTGAAGCTTTCCTGGACATTTATCAGTTCCCAAATAATACTCTTATAATTTCTTACGCCTGTCTTACTTTAATCTCTTAATCCTGTTATCTTCATAAGCTGAGAATGTACGTCACCTCAGGACCACTGTTGTACAACTTGATTGTAAAATGTGTGTTTGAACAATATGAAATCAGTGCACCTTGAAAAGGGACAGAATAACAGCGATTTCTCAGGGAACGAGGGAAGACAACCATATGGTCTGACTGCCTGCGGGACGGGAAGAATAGAGCCATATTTTTCTTCTTGCAGAGAGCCTATATATGGACATGCAAGTAGTAGAGATATCACTAAATTCTGTTCCTAGTAAGGAATATAATATTAAGACCCTAGAAAAGAATGCATTCCTGTGGGGAGGTCTATAAACGGCCACTCTGGGAGTGTCTGTCTTATGCAGTTGAGATAAGGACTGAAATACACCCTCGTCTCCCGCAGTACCCTCAGGCTCATTAGGGTGGGGGAAAACCCCACCCTGGTGAATTTGAGGTCAGACCAGTTATCTGCTCTGTTTAAACAACAGAAAACCCTGTTTTCTGTTGTTTAAGATGTTTATCAAGACAATACATGCACAGCTGAATATAGACCCTTATCAGGAGTTTTTGATTTCGCCCTTTGCCTTGGGATCTTTGCTTTGCCCTTTGCCTTGTGATCTTTATTGGCCTCAGAAGCATGTGATCTTTGTGACCTACTCACTGTTCGTACATCCCCTCCCCTTTTGAAGTCCTTAATAAAAACCTGCTGGTTTTGCAGCTCAGGTGGGTATCACAGACCTACCGATATGTGATGTCACCCCCGGCAGCCCAGCTGTAAAATTCCTCTCTTTGTACTCTTTCTCTTTATTTCTCAGACCGGCTGACACTTAGGGAAAATAGAAAAAACCTACATTGAAATATTGGGGGCAGGTTCTTCCAATACACAATGTTCTGCAGTGCCTATATGTATATGAGTCTGTTTCTGGGGTTCCTTATTCAGGTACACTGATATGTTTGTCTGTTGCACCAATAACATTATCTAGTACTATAGCTTTAAAAGAGATTTTGATGAATGTAGAATAAATCCTCCCACTCCAGTTTTCTTTGGCAAGCCTGTCTGGGCTATTTTGTATCTTAAGAACTGTCATTAAAAATTAGAAACTGATTGTCAAATTGCTCCTCTCCTTCTCCAGATGAAATTTGTATTGAGACTGATTATACTTCAATGTGGGGAAAATTGACATTTTTACAGATTGAGTCTTTCAATCAATGAATATGATGTATATCTCTTCATTTATTTAGGTCTTCTTTAATTTCACTCCGATTTTTAGTTTTCTGTATAGAGGTTTTACACATCCTGTTTATTGTTAAGAATTTGATTTTTATGCTATTGAAAATAGTATATTTTTGGCCAGGTGCAGTGGCTCATGCCTGTAATCTCAGCATTTTGGGAGGTTGAAGAGGGTGGATCACGAGGTCAGGAGATTGAGACCAGCCTGGCTAACATGGTGAAATCCCGTCTCTACTAAAAAAATACAAAAAAATTAGCCAGGCATGGTGGCGGGCACCTGTAGTCCCAGCTACTCAGGAGGCTGAGGTAGGAGAATGGCATGAAACCAGGAGGCAGAGCTTGCAGTAAGCTGAGATTGTGCCACTGCGCTCCAGCCTGGGTGACAGAGCAAGACTCCATCTCAAAAAAAAAAACAAAAACAAAAAACAGTATATTTTAAGAATTTAATATCAATTTTCTGCTGGAATATAGGACACATACTTGATTTTTCAAAATATTGACTTGCCAGAAATCTTGCTAAATTCTATATATTTAGTTGTAGATTCTCTTGGATTTTCTAGTTCATAATTGTACTCATGAAAAATGTCCTTTTGTTTTTTATTCCTTTTCAAACTTTAAGCCTTTTATTTCTTTTTCTTGCTTTTATGCAAAGGGTAGAGCCATCATACAGTATTGAATGGAAGTAGTGACAGCAGACATCTTTTTCTAATTTTAAATGAAGGGCTTTCAATGTTACACTATCAAGTATGATTGCTGCAGATTTTTGTTAGATATACTTGGTTAGGTTAAAGAAATTATCTTCTACTTATAGTATGTTAAGACTTGTTTTTAATCACATGATATTAAATTTTAATAATTTTCTACATCTATTGGAATGATTATATTTTTTTTCTCTTCTAGTCTATTACTTCAGAATATTACATTAATTGATTTCTCAAACAAAGGTAAGCAAACAAACCTTAATCTCTGGAATAAACCCAACATGGCTATAATGTGTCTTCTTTTTTTGTTTGTTTGTTTTGAGACAGAGTCTGGCTCTGTTGCCCCGGTGGGAGCGCAGTGCTGCCATCTCAGCTCACTGCAACCTCTGCCTCTTGGGTTCAAGCGATTCTCCCACTTCAGCCTCCCAAGTAGCTGGGATTACAGGTGCATGCCACCACACCTGGCTTTTTTTTTTTGGAGACAGATTCTCACTGCATCACCCAGGCTGGAGTGCAGTGGCATGATCTTGGCTGGCTGCAACCTCCTAATTTTTTTGTATTTTAGTAGAGACGGGGTTTCACTGTGTTGCCTATGCTGGTCTCGAACTCCTGAGTTCATGCAATCTGCCTGCCTTGGCCTCTCAAAGTGCTAGGATTATAGGCATGAGCCACTACGCCTGGCCTTTGTTGTATTTTTTTTTTAGTAGAGACAGGGTTTCACCATGTTGTCCAGGCTGGTCTTGAATGCCTGACCTCAAGTGATCTGCCCACCTTGGCCTCCCAAAGTGCTGGAATTACATGCGTGAGCCACTGCGCCTGGCCAGTATTTTCTTTTTCCTACATTGCCAGATATGGTTTGCCAGTATATGGTTTAGGACTTTTCTCCATAATATATTTGCTAGTGAGATTAGCCTGTATTTTTCTTTCTAGAATTACCATTCTTAGGGTTTGGTATCAAGGGTATGCTAATCTCATAATCTGAATTGGGGAGTATTTCTTTTCTGTTCTCAGGAAGAGTTCATGCTATGATTAGTGTTATTTTTACCCCTCAAATGCTTGGTAGAATTTGCCATTGAAGGCATCTCTAGGACCAGCATTTTGTTTGTGGAGAGATTTTAGATTATTATTATTATATTCTATTGTGTCATTTTAAAATTTTATACATGTATGTGCTTATCTATAATATACCCTTTCTTCTGTTTTCTTTGTGTTTGTTTTGCATTATCTAGCTTCTTGAGATGGATGTAAATTTTCTAGCCTAATTTCTTCTAAAATGTATACTTACAGCTAGAAATTTCCCTCTACTACATTACCTGTATTGCATACATTTTGATTTGTGGTATTTTTGTTAATTCAGTTCAAAATGCCTTCTAATTTCATGATGATAGCTTCTTTGACTATAGGTTATTTAGAAGTGTGTTTCGTGTATGGATGCAGTAGCTCACGCCTGTAATCCCAACACTTTGGGAGGCTGAGGTGGGAGGATCATTTGAGCCCAGGAGTTTGAGACCAGCCCGGGCAACATAGCAAGACCCCTGTCTTTACAAAAAAATAAAATTAAAAAAAAAAAAACAGCCGGGGCATGGTTGCACACATCTGTAATCCCAGCTACTTGGAAGGCTGACGCAGGAGGACTACTTAAGTCCTGGAGTTTGAAGCTGCAGTGAGCTGAGATTGCACCTCTGCACTCCAGCCTATGCAACAGAACAAGACCATGTCTCAAAAAAAAAAAGGAAAGAAATTTTAAAAAGCATGTTTCTTTAGCTGAAAGAATATAGGCTTTTTTTTTCCAGGTATCTTTTCATTATTGATTTCTAGCAAGTTTATATTTTGATTAGAAAAAAAACTTTATGCTACTTTAATCCCTTGAAATTGACTGAGACTTGCTGTATGACTCCAATAAGAGATTTTTTTTCTGTGACTCTTTCATGTGTTTTTTAAAGCATAATGTATTCTGTCATTGTAGGATATAGTTCTTTATTTATCATTTAAGTAAGTTTATTCATTGTGTGGTTCAAATCTTCAGTATTCTTCCTAAGTTTTAGACTGCTTGTGCAATCAGTTGCTGAAAGAATGGTTAAAATCTCCCACTTCAATTCTGGATTCCTTGATTTTTCCCTTTAGTTCTGTCAATTTTCCTTTGTATTTGGAAGCCATGTTATTAGAGGCATATAATTTAAAGTTTTTTATATTTCTTGTGGATTGAATCTTTTATTATGCTATGATTGATCTTTTATATCTATAAAGTATTTGTGCCTAAAGTCCATTTTGTCTGCTATTAATATGTTGATATAGCCTTCTTCTGCTTAGTGTTTGCATAGTATATCTGAAAAAATGTAATTGATTAGCCAGACATGGTGGCACATGCCTATGCTTCTAGCTACCTGAGAGGCTGAGGCAGGAGGATCACTTAAGCCCAGGGATCAAGGCTGCAGTGAGTCATAGCCCGCCAATGTATTCAAGCCTAGGTGATAGAGTGAGACGCTGTCTCAAAAGAGCAAAGAAGGAAAGAAGAAAAGGACGGAGGGAGGGAAGGAGGAAGGAAGAAAGGAAAGAAATGAAGATATAAAAAAAGAAAAAGTTAATTGAAATATGATTCATATATAAATTCTCTCTTTCAGTGTACAGCTTGGTAGTTTTATTGAAGAGTTGTACAATCACCACCACTAATTCTAGAATATTTTCATCACCCAAAAAACTGTACAGTTAGCAGTCACTCCCTATTTCCCCCTCTACAAATCTCCTGGGTACCATAAAGCTACTTTTTGAATCTATAGATTTGCCTATTCTGGACATTTCATATAAATGAGATCATATATGTGGTCTTTTGTGCCTCACTTCTTTCACTTGGCATAATTTTATTAAAAGTTTATTTATGCTGTGGCATATATCTATACTTCATTCATTTTTATGGCTAAATAACATTCCATTGTATGGATATACCACATCTTGTTTATCCATTCATCAGTAGATGGCGATTTGTGTTGTTACCACTTTTTACCTATTATGAATACTGTTTCTATCAACATTCATATAAAGGATTTTGTGAGAATGTATGTTTTCATTTCTTGTGGGTATACACCTAGGAGTGGATCTTTTCCTGTTCTTGTACTGTCCACTTTTCTCTATCTCTATTTTTTTAGGTGTGCCTTTCATAAACAATACTTGGGATTTTGTCTTTTCTTTAACTGGACAACCTTTGTATATTAACTTGGAAGACTTAATCATCAGGGAAGTACAGATTATGACCACCCTGGGATATTGCTTTATGCAGCAGTGGATGTATATCAACGGGGACCCTTATACGGTGGTAGTAAGAGTATAAATGGGCACAATCAATTTGGAAAACAATTTGGCTCTGTCTTATAAATTGGAACATTTACATACACTATGATCCAGCAATTCTAATTCTAGATATGTACCCAATAGAAATAATTCTACTTGAACATCAAGAAGATAAAAACAATAATTTTAGAAAAAGTATTGCTTATAATAGCAAAGCTCTGGGACCCAAATATTCACATTCATTAGAATGGATAAACTGTGGGATAGCTATATATTTTGGAGATCATGGCATATGAATATATAAGATACTTTTCCTTTTTTTGAGCTATATAATTTCCCATGATACGGGTAGACTATAGTTTACTGATGAAATGTTAGATTGTTTCCAATATTTTGCTGTTATGAAAAACACTGCGAATAACTTCAGATAAATTGCTAGAAGTGTGGATGAGCATTTGTGAGTTTGATAAATATTACCAAGTTTCTCTCCATGCAGAATATAATAATATCACCACTGATGCAGATAAGTGTCTGTTTCCCTATGTTGTTGCAAATTTTATTGCTTTCTTTTCCAACTACATTACTTTCTATTTACTTTACTTCCATTATGGTTTTCCTATAACATTGAATAGAAGTGATTGTGGACGTCTTTGTATTCCTGAATTTGAAAGGAAATAATTCAAATAATTGTGAATCAAATTCTTTGATTATTGCTAATTTGGTAAAAAATCAATACGATTATTTTAAGGCCATAGGATATTCCATAAAAATGTACCTACCATAATTTACATAACCATTCTCCTATTATTGAGTATTTTCCTCTCATTTCTGAGATTCAGGTCAAAATCCTTAATACTGCATCTGTCCATTTGCAATTTATTTTACACAAAAGGAAACAATCCCTATATGTTATCATTTAACTGAATTTCCACTTGTGCACATGGTGTCCTGATTAGATTGATGTCTCAAGATCCCAGTCTTTTTAAAAATCTCCATTATTTAGCCATTTTCCCTATATTTGGACATGAAGACTAGTCGCAGTTTTTCATTATTGTGAACTATATAGTAACAAAGGAATCATATATTAGAAATGAGACTCCAAGAAAATTGTTCATCTTCTTTAAAGCTTAATTTTCTCATCTATATATTAGTCAATAAAAGTACCTATATTACAGTATTTTATGAGAATTTTTAAGTATGATATGGCATGTAAAGTATATAAAATAGTTTTTGGAGCATGGAATGTGCTCTATAAATATTAGCTATTATGATCATTATGGTACTCAATGAACAGTCTGAAACATTGCTTTTTTCTCTGATACAATTAGGTCCTTTCTGAAATGGTATCTGTGATTCAGCTATTCAAAACCTAATGAAGTTGGTGACTCTATGACAATGTGGAGAAATCATGACAGAAAATGTGGTTTGTACTGGGGCTGTCAATGCTGTAAAGGAAGTTTGGGAAAAAAGAATAAAGAAACACAATGAAGACCTGAAGCGAGAGAAGGAATTTCAACACAAGTATGCTAAAACATATTTATTATTTTGAATTAGTGAAATTAACATTATCATCACCATAAAAAAGGGCATTCTAAATGCCTTATTATTGAATTTGATATAGAATTTCATTTACTGAAAACTCAAAATATACTTAAAGAAAACAGCTGACTCAATTAAATTTGTCTGTGATAGGAGTCACAAAAAATACAAATATGAAAATAGTAGCTATCTTATACCCTCATAGTACTCTGTTTAACATTCATCAAAGTTTGACTAGTATCATACAGTGTAATTTTCAGGATTGTATGTTCAGCATTAACATGCCCTAGGATCTAAAACAACATTTGGCAGTAGAAGGTACAGGAGATTCTCATTTATTTGAATAGTCATGTGTTCTAGCCAGAGCTGCTTGATCACTTGATTCCTTGATCTGGGCTATATTTATTTGACTCTCATTTCCTCTGCCTTCATTTTATCTTACCTACTTTCCTGATTGGATGTCTCCCAAAAGTATTATACTAATCCTGCAAAAATAGTCCCTTTCCTTATAGATTCATATAGTTCCATACAATTCTCATTCATTGTCTCTTTCTATTATTATCATTATTATTTTTGAAATGGAGTCTCACTCTGTTGCCCAGGCTGGAGTGCAATGGAATGATCTCAGCTCACTGCAACCTCCACGTCCCAGATGCAAGTGATTCTCTCTGCCTCAGCCTCCCAAGTAGCTGGGATTACAGGCACATGCCACCACACCCAGCTAATTTTTGTATTCTTAGTTGAGATGGGGTTTCGCCATGTTGGCCAGGCTGGTCTTGAACTCCTGACCTCAGGTGATCCACCCACCTCAGCCTCCCAAAGTGCTGGGATTACAGGCATTGGGCCACCATGCCCAGCCATGAGGCAAATGTTATTTGCCAATGTCAGTTAGCAAATAACAGAAAATTCAACTAAAGATGGCTTAAGTGATAGGGAAGTGAGGCTGTTCTGAAGATAGTCAATGCAAAGCCTCAACATCTTTTAAAAGTCAACTTTTTTTTTCACCTTCCACTGTTAATTCCTGTGTCAGTTTGATCCTCAGATTAGCTTCCTTCAATGTTATAGGATGACTGATGCACTTCCAGGCATCACAGCCAATCATCATTATGTTTTCAGAAAAGTGGAAACTATTTTTTTCTATTTCTTCTTTAAGAGTAAGGAAATCTTTCACAGAGGGTTCCCAACAAACCTCTCCTTCACCTCTCATTGGCCAGAATTGGATCAGGTGTACACATCTAACCCAGTTACCTTCTAGGGGAATGAGACTGATTGGTTTAGACAAATTAAGATTCATCCCTAGTGTATTAGTCCATTTTCATGCTGCTGATAAAGACATACCTGAAACTGGGTAATTTATAAAGGAAAGAGGCTTAACTGACTCACAGTTCCACAAGGCTGGGGAGGCCTCACAATCATGGTGGAAGATGAAGGAAGAGCAAAGGGACATCTTACATGGCAGCTGGCAAAGAGAGAATGAGAACCAAGTGAAAGGGTAAACCTCTTATAAGACCATTGTCTTGGCAATTAACATTAGGCTCCTCATTACTTATGCGAATTTCTGCAGCCAGCTTGAATTTCTCCTCAGAAAATGGGTTTTTCTTTTTCTATCACATCCTCAGGCTGCAAATTTTCTGAACTTTTATGCTCTGTTTCCCCTTTAAAACGGAATGCTTTTAATAGCACCTAAGTCACCTCTTGAATGCTTTGCTGTTTAAAAATGTCTTCCGGAACTTCTTTAAGTTCAAAGTTCCACAGATCTCTAGGGTAGGGGCAAAATGCTGCCATTCTCTTTGCTAAAACATAGCAAGAGTCACCTTTATTCCAGTTCCCAACAAGTTCCTCATCTCCATCTGCGATCACCTCAGCCTGGATTTCATTGTCCAAATCATTATCAGCATTTTGGTCAAAGCCATTGAACAAGTCTCTAGGAAGTTCCAAACTTTCCCACATTTTCCTTCCTTCTTCTGAGCCATCCAGCTATTCCAACCTCTGCCTGTTACCCAGTTCCAAAGTCACTTCCACATTTTTGGGTATCTTTACAGCAGTGCCCCACTCTACCGGTACCAATTTACTATTTTAGTCCATTTTCACACTGCTGATAAAGACATACCTGAGACTGGGTAATTTATAAAGTAAAGAAGCTTAATTGACTCATAGTTCCACATGGCTGGGGAGGCCTCACAATCGTGGAAGACATAGGAAGAGCAAAGGGACATCTTACATGGCAGTCGGCAAAGAGAGAATGAGAACCAAACGAAAGGGGAATCCTCAGCCAGGCATGGTGGCTCATACCTGTAATCCCAGCACTTTGTGGGGCTGACGTGGGTGGATCACCTGAGGTCAGGAGTTTTAGACCAGTCTGACCAACATGGTGAAACCCCGTCTCTACTAAATACAAAAAATTAGCCGTGAGTGGTGGTGTGTGCCTGTAATTCCAGCTACTTGGGAGCCTGAGGCAGGAGAATTGATTGAACCTGGGAGGCAGAGGTTGCAGTGAGCCAAGACTGCACCATTGCACTCCAGCCTGGGCAACAAGAGTGAAAGTCCATCAAAAAAAAGAAAGAAAGAAAGAAAGAAGGAAAGAGAGAGAGAGAGGGAGGGAGGGAGGGAGAGAGAGAGACAGAAAAAAAGAAAGAAAGAGAGAGAGAGAAAGAAAGAGAAAGGAAGGAAGGAAGGAAGGAAGGAAGGAAGGAAGGAAGGAAGGGAGAGAAACCTCTTATAAAACCATGAGATCTTGGGAGACTTACTCATTACCATGAGAACAGTGTAAGGGAAACTGCCCCCATGATTCAATTATCTCCCACTGGGACCCTCCCACAACACGTGGGAATTATGGAAGCCACAATTCAAGATGAGATTTGGGTGGGGACACAGCCAAACCATATCACCTGGATTACTTTGTAAACACCTGGACTTGGAATCAATTGGTATTCTTCCAGTAAACAAGGGTGGGGGACAAGAAGCTACTGATAAGCAATGATTTGTGTTGCTAAATATCTGTAAAAACAAAAGATCTGGACAGGGAGGAATAATTTTTCCCACTTAGTTTTTAGTAAGTGTGCAGACATAGCAAGATTCGTGTTCAAAGTGGATTCTACAAGGATAGAGAGGGAAGTCCAAGGTCAAGCCTGGTCAAGAAGAGGATGAGGAGCCTGACTAAAGTTTCGATAAAAGGAATCTTTGTCATTAATTAAGAATCACTTAATTTCAGAAATTTTGTAAGTTCTCTATATGAGAATAATGAGTGTGCAGTCTTGCCCACCCTTACTGCCTTACTGCTTGTTCTTTTTTTGGCATCATCTATTTTATGATTAGGGAGGAGGATTCTCTCTTAGCAAAATGTAATCTCCGAAAGTTAAGTTAGACCACAATCAGCTTCTACTTTTAGAAACATTGCATGGAATTTGTGTAATGTAGTTTTTCAAAGCACCTTTTCCTTAATCTTAAAACAATTTCATTGTAAAATCATTGTACAGTATTATAAAGCTTGGATTATGGTTAAAATTAAGTATAAACTACTTTAAAAGTAAATTATATAGAGATCAAAGGTTAGGTTTAAAACCTGTAATATGACTAAATAAATAATTTGCCAGGTATGGTGGCTTGTGCCTGTAATCCGAGCACTTTGGCAGGCTGAGGTAGGAGGATCTCTTGAGCCCAAGGAGTTTGAGACCAGACTGGGCAACATAGCGAGATCCCATCTCTAAAACAAAAAGTTAGCTGGGCATGGTGGCATGCACCTGTAGTCCCCATTACTTGGGAGGCAGAGGGGTGAGGCGGGAGGATCGACTGAGCCCTGGAGATCAAGGCTGCAGTAAGTCACAGTCACACCCACTGCACTCCAGCCTGGGCATGAGACACTGTCTCATAAAAAAAAAAAAAAAAAAAAGAAAGAAAAAAAATTAATAGATAAACAACAATAACTGATGCAAAATGGTAAGAATCTGAGAGACCTTTTAAAGTGAGACAGAGAAGCTGATTACCAGAGAAAAGGCTAATTGGAAAATTCATAGAAAATTTAAACTGGCCAAAGGTAACCCAAAGAAATGTCCCTTCTTTTTTACTCTGCTCTGAAATAGAGCAGTGTTTCTCAAACGTGTCTATGTAGGAATCCCATAGGGATCTTATTAAAATAGCTTCTGGGTTAGTAAGTCTGGAGTAGGACCAAGAGTCTGGATTTCTAACAAGCTCCCAGGAGACAATAATGCTGCTGTTCTGCAAATCACACTGAGTAGCAAGGAAGTAGACAAAAGAAGCAGAAGATTTGAAAGTGGTCAGTACACAGGCAAGGGGTTAGAAGGGTAAGAATGTAATCTAATGCTTCTTCTTTCAGCTAAAAGTGGCTAAAGCTTTAGCTAAAAAATGAAAGAAAAAAAAGCCTACAGTTTAAACAGAAATTGTCCTTTCTCCCTTTTGATGCCAAGCTCCTTGAAAAAATCAAGTACTTAGGTAACAGTTGGTGTGACAATATTGGAAAAAGGCCTTATTCTACAATAATAGGGTTTTATTTTATTTTATTTTAGAGACAGAGTCTTACGCTGTCACCTAGGCTGGCGTGTAGTGGCACAATCTTGGCTTACTGCAACCTCTGCCTCCTGGGTTCAAGTGATTCTACTGCCTCAGCCTCCTGAGTAGCTGGGATTACAGGCGCACACCAACACGTCCATCTAATTTGTGTATTTTTAGTGGAGATGCAGTTTTACCATGTTGGCCAGGCTGGTATCGAACTCCTAACCTCAAGTGATCCACCTGCTTTGGCCTCACAAAGTGTTAGGATTACAAGTGTGACCCACCACGCCCGGCCTCAAAAGGGTTTTAGAAGAGTTATAAAATTTCGATTAGAGACGTGAAAGAATATCAAGATTAAAATAAGCAGTTTCACACCTGTAATCCCAGTGCTTTGGGAGGCTGAGGCGGGAGGATTGCTTGAGCAGGAGGATTGTTCAAGACCAGACTGGGCAACATAGTGATGGTCTGTCTCTTTTTTTTTTTTTTTTTTTTTTTTTAGAAAAAACTGTATACGAATTATAGAATATTTGAGCTAGAAAATACACAGATATCATTTAATTATAACCTCACATTTTATAGGTAAGGCCCACAGATGGGGGATGTCTTGCCCAAGGTAACCAAATTAATAAATGGTACATTCTGGACTTAGATCATAAAAATGCAGAACCAGAAAGAATTTAGGGATCATTACAGAGATGGAAATAGATTTTTCTAATAATAGCCTGACTGTCAACTCAGTAAGGACAGAGCTTTTTGTATCTCCAATGTCTAGTACTTGGCTATAATGATTACTTGATTAATTCCTTAAGTTAAAGGTCAAGGAATCAGATTCCTAATTTACTTGTTACTAAATCTTGCTCTGAATTTCACTTCTTTCTTAGTAATAACTAATTAATAACCATTAAGCGCATTGTTTGAATAGTTCTATTTTTATATAAGTGATATAATTGAATAGCTGACATTATACATTTTTTTTTAGTTATCCACATCTATGGAAAGCTTAGTTGTTTAGATCAGAAGTCCACACATATCCCACTGCCACAGGGCACCTGTTAGCAGATTAGTTAAATTTTAGGTAAGTGATAGATTAAAATACACAGATACTAAGAGAAGCATTTTACAAACCCAAATACGTAAAGACAGCAAATTCAACACTTTGTTTACTTTTGGCTTTCTGTTCATCAAAATAAAATCCTTACTGAAGATCAGTTAATATGCAAAACTGCTAAAAATATGTATTAACTCTCAGATGTCAAGAGATTTCTGGCAAACAAATATTCAAATTAGTTAAACTTCATGTTTTGAGGACTGCTTATATTTATTATGTATCCTTTCAACAGGCTAAAATTTCAAAATTTTCAATTCTAAACTTACTGTCTTTTTCATGCGTGAATAATTTTCTGGGATAGAAATCGCTTTTTGCAAAAGGTTTTCATTTCATTTCTTTTCTTTTTTTTTTTTTTTTGAGACAGAGTCTCACTCTGTCCCCCAGGCTGGAGTGCAGTGGCGCAATCTTGGCTCACTGCAACCTTCACATCCTAGGTTCAAGCAATTCTCCTGCCTCATCCTCCCTAGTAGCTGGGACTCCAGGCATGCATCACCACACCCGGCTAATTTTTGTATTTTTAGTAGAGATGGGGTTTCACCATGTTGGCCAGACTGATTTCGAACTCCTGACCTCAGGTCATCCATCCGCCTTAGCATCCCAAATTGCTGGGATTACAGGCATGAGCCACCGTGCCTGGCCGGTTTTCCAGTTTCTAGTTTGCATTTTTCTAGTTTGAGATCATTCTTATGTTTGCAGTAGATCAAAAATCAATAGGAATGTGCTTCAGAATGACAAAGATTTTATACATTTTTATATGTAAAAAATAAAGACTAGATAAAATTAACAGGTAGTAAGATGAAATTGAATTCTGAAGTTGAACTGTATTCTTTGTAAGCCATTACAAAACCTATCAAATATCTATTGATTACTCACCAGGAAAATGCAAATCAAACCCCCAATCAGATACCATTCACACCCACTAGATGACTATAATAAAAAAGAGGGACAATAGCAAATATTGGTGAGGATGTGAAGAAATCAGAACCTTAATATGCCACTGGTGGGAATGTAAAATGGTGCAGCCATTTTGGAAACAGCTTGGCAGTTTCTGAAAATGTTAAACATAGCCAGGTGCTGTCGTTCATGCCTGTAATCCCAGTACTTTGGGAGGCCAAGGCAGGTGGATTGCTTGAGTTTAGGAGTTTGAGACCAGGCTGGGCAACATGGCAAAACCCTGCCTCCACAAATAATACAAAAATTAGCTGGGCATGGTGGAGCATGCCTGTAGTCCCAGCTTCTCAGGAGGCTGAAGTGGGAGGATCACTTGTGCCTGGGAGGTTGATGCTACAGTGGGCCGTGATGGTGCCATTGCACTCCTGCCTGGATGACAGAACGAGATTTTGTCTCAAAAAAAGAAAAATGTTAAACATAAAGTTACCATATGACTCAGCAATTCTACTCCTAGGAATGTACCCAAGAAAACTGAAAACATGGTCACACAAAAATTTGCACATCAATATTCATAGCAGCATTATTCCAAATAGCCAGTAGTGGAATTAACCCAATGTCCATCAGTTGATGAATTGGTAAACAAAATGTATTAGATCCATACAGTGGAATCATTCTGCCATAAAAAGAATGAAGTACTAATACATGCTACAGCATGAATGAACTTTGGAAAAAAACGATCCTAAGTGAAAGAAGCAGACACAAAAGATACATATTGTATGGTCCCATTTAAATAAAGTGTCCAGGATAGGAAAATCCATATACAAAAAGTAGATTAGTGATTACCAAGAGGTATGAGAGGGAAGAATGGAGAGTGACTGCTAATGGGTATGGAGTTTCCTTTTTGAGTGATAAAATGCTTTGGTATGAGATAGTGATGATAGTTGCACAAACTGTGAATATACCAAAATTTACTGAATTGTGTACTGAAAAAAGTAATTTTTATGGTATGTGTATCAGATCTCAAAAAAGTTACTATTAATAAAATTTATAGAGTTATGATACTTAAAAAAATTAAAAATAGGGCATTTGTGGTACTAATCATATTTATAATTCTTGCAAAATAAGATCTTGTCTGATTTCCAGGTACCAATAGTCAAATGGTTGTTTTTGATTGGTCATTTAAAA